TCACTGTTTCACTGTTGTCATGGAGGCCCCCTTCAATGGCGGACACCTTGTGCTAGCTATTGTTCAGATAGTACATCATGGGCAGGTTGCTTTGTACAATAGCTGATTCAATGCTTTTCATATACATTTGCAAACATCAAAAAACAAAACTAACAAATTATTATGAAATACCTTACTTGACTGTATTAGTCTCAAGCATTCTGTGAAATCATGGCACCTGGTGTACTGTCATTTTCAAGAAAAGTGGAAGTTTTGTATCGATTTTCAACGATGGTCGGCCGTTGGAAAAAAACTGATCTTTCTTTTCAAATACAACCCCCCCCCCCCCCATGTACCAAATTTAGTTAGTCCACATTTTGTTTGCAATCGGTTACAAATCTATGAACGGTTGCAAGCCAGCTAGTCTGGTTTGCTGACCTGACAATTCCCCAACATCTATAAATTGCTCCATTTCATCTGAAGTAGGGTCAGGGAACCAGACTACAAGAACAGCATTGTTTTCTTTGTTTTTCCAGCATCTAAGAAAACAAAACTTTAAACAGGTCAGTGTAACAATAGTTGCAATAAAATACTAACCCCACAAATCCATCCATTTCTGAAAATTACAGCAAAAGCAAAATGTTGCATATTCCGGGGACCTCCGTGAAAGTGACCGTCAATCAGCCAGTCAGATAGTTACAAGCAAAAACCCCAAAGAGCAGACGGGATCCAAAGATGAACTAGAGCTAGGGGACATGATTTCTTCCCCTAAATGGAAACTTCATTTAAAAAACACACACAATTGCTTATAACAGACACAAAACAACATGTTCAAATAATGCCTGCACTGGTTTTATTGATATAAAAATTTGAGATCATCAGGAAAAAAATCAGTCTATACAAACATTTTACAACTATAACGTGTATAAATGCTAACATGAATGGCCCATACAGAGCTAGATAATATAATAATCTGTCCCAATACCGATTATATCATTGGTAAAAAAAATTGTCAATCCTTAAAATATTTTTTTTTTTTTATTCCAAACAATTTTCTTTTTCAAATTCTCACTCGGTTTTGTAGTCTCAGACCGTCTTCGAAATACAATTTATGAAACAATGTGAATAAGCTCTTATTTAAAATACAATCTGAATCTTCCCAGAAAAAAACACTATTTACAGATACAGATACCAATATTCTGATTTAAGCCCAAATATTAGTGAAACATTTCTTAATCTTTGAATATCATTAAAAACAAAAATATGCTGAATACTGTTCATTTCTTAAAAAAAAAAAAGTATTACACATGGATCAACGAAGAACAAAAACAATGTTGAATACTCAACAAAATCATAAAAAGGGGGATTTCCCTTAATTCTCGCATTATTATGTACTGGTTTTTATATTTGGTTGAAGTAAAATTTTAAAAAGAAATTTCATTGTAACTTGGATAAATAACACTTGACTGAATTTCGAATACAATGAATATTGAGCATTAACACGCATTTTGTAACTTGCTGAAAAGAATGATTTAACAAATATCATTCCAACCAAGAACATGAACAATGGAATACAAACATGACCTTCACGTCAAAACACTTTTCCTCTGAATTTACCTTAAATTAATATCAATCAAAGATATGTGTGCTCTAGTATAAGTCGAGTTGAGTTACAGTACTTGTATTAAATGTGCATGCACTCTCTGCAAAGAATTAACAAGTCAATAAAGTTGGCCCCTCTAGTTTGGACATATCAATATAACTAAAAAAAGCGGGATCATTTTTAAGAAAATAATGAATGGCCTCAAATGATACTGAATGAAAGGTAAGGATAACGCAATGTAAATGTTTGTGAAGACTTGTACGCTGACAAGATATTTGCTACACAAAGTCATTGATGAAGGCTACATGAAGTTGAGTGAAACCAAAAATGTTTTACATACTTCACATTTTGACTCAAGTTCAGTAGAATGTCGCTATAACAAACACATTGGCGTCTGCAAAAGATGGTTCAGTTTAGCGATTAGGCCGGTTTCTCATTGTAGTGATCTTTGGTCACTAATGCTCGTTATAATTGCACATAAAAATTGGGAGCCCAGGGAATGTATGTTAAAAGCCGAATGTTTGGTATGGCAACATTCTACTGTAGCCTCTTCAATCAGATAATGTGGTATTTCAACTGTGCCTGTGTTAAATATAGCAGTTCATAGGTCATTCATGATTAAACATAAACAGTACTCCAAGAAAACGAAGCTGTGTTGGTACTCTGTGGTACCTGCAGTTGGGCTTGGTTAGTGCCATACTTAAATTTTAAAGTAAGCAGCAATGTTTCGTACTTTAGATAGTCACAAATCTTTATCCTGAAAGACCTTTGACCCAAACTGCTTCATTACACAGTTACTGAATACCCAAATTTAGTTTTAAGCAGTACATTTCTGCCTGAGTTTGAGAGACAACCAATATCGAGTAGGTCGCGCTGTGAAATTGGCTGGCACATCCAAGTGAAAAGTGAAAGATTTGTGTAACTTTATGTTCCTCAGATTGATTACAGTAGAACTCCGACATTGAGTTTATGTCACTATTAGTGGTACCGCTTCAGTGGGAACACGTTTTGGCCAGTAATTTACAGACGCCGTAAACTACTTAGTTCCGGCCCATCACTCCAGGTAAGTATTCCATTATGGGGTTATATTTCCACTTGTAAGGCAAGTAAAGCTCATCCTAGTCCGGGGAAATCCATTAGCTGTCAAAGACAAAGGTGTCTACAAGATGCATAATGACACACGATCCTATCACGAGTGAAAACTACAGAGAGTTTGGCTAAAAGGACCGGCTCATATTTCACACAAAAACGAAAGCGCAGTGAATTTTATATCAACAACTTAAGTTTCATTGTGAAATTCGCTGTTACCCTGACCAATTTGCCTTGCATGGAAATTCACATGAAATCTGAACTTTTATTTTTTGAGACTACTACTACTTTTGCTGCACAGATTTCACAAAAGCAACCGAGTACTCTTCCCAGCTTTGACAACAGAATGCATTAAAAAGTTTCCCCTTGGTTTTCCCTTGTTTTTTTTCTAATTTGTTACTTTATGGGGCTTTCACACAGTTAGAATGAAAGTAAGACATGCTGCACTGATATTAAGCTTAAAACAAAAGAATGGGTTCTTATATAATAACTACGTAAGTACCGGTGTTAAGTCCAACATTTTTTTTGTTACAAAATATTAGCTCCCCTGCAAACAGCAAAGAGTACTTAACAGCAACATGGCTGAATATGCACTTACTGGGTTTTGGAACACAATGGATGCTAGAAATGCATAACTTGACAGAGTTGTAATCAGGTCAATCACAAGTCTTCATAAGTCATCATAAGTCAATCACAAGTCAATCACAAGTCAATCACAAGTTATCATTAGTCAATCACAAGTCATCATAAGTCAATCTCAAGTCATCACAAGTCAATCTCAAGTCATCATTAGTCAATCACAAGCCATCATAATGCCAATCTCAATTCAAGTCAAGTCCTCAGCTATTCAAATTGTTCATCTAATGTTATACTGGGTAAGTCCAAGAAAAAGGCCCCCTTTTGTCCCATACGTAACGCCATGTATTCTGTAATTACATCATCATCGCAAAGACTAAAAACAGAAAAAGGGGTATTCTTGTTACAGATGCCAAACAACAGAATAAGAAAACCCCCACTAAAACCCATGAATATCTTAGAGGGTTAAACTTGCGTTACGTGTGGGACAAAGGTTGCGCAAATTCTTAGAGTTGCCCTACTCGTGACCTGACTTTTGATTCGGTTTCTGATTTGACTTGAGATGGACTTGTAATTCGGGCGATTCACAATGCAATGCGCCACCAAGAGTTTGCCACGGAGAGTTCATTTTTCGCATTGCATTGTGGGAGATAGTCGACAAATTCGCAGCGCGGGACATTTGAAATTGTTAGTTTTTCCGGTCAGTAGTTTCGTAAGCGTATGATTCGAGGATCTGTTTGCCCCCCTTTTTTTTTTATCAATATCTTTTTTTTTTTATGTAAGGCAGCAGAATGCTATGCCCCAATCTTTAACATATTATCACAAGATGTCTACCGACACTCATTCAAATGGGCCATGTTTTGTCGACTGTAAACTTGAAAAATGGACTCTCCGCGGCGAACTCTTGGTGGCGCACTACATTGTGAATCGCCCAAATTGATTCGCTTACAACCCTGAAAGAGGAAACACTAACACAGACTGCTCAACCTGATACAACAAAGTGAAAAAAGTACTCCAACTCCGTAGCACCTTGCGTGTATATGACTCCCAGTTGTAGGCTATCCAAATAAAACTACATTAGCAGATAATATGACAATAATGTAATGTACATATTAAACAATGCAGACAATTAGGTGCTACACTTTGTACATGAATTGTGTCAAATGTTAATTCTATCTGATTTGGGAAAGCTTATCACATTACTTATGGTAGTTAATATAAGGCACTGGAAGACGTTACAAAGGCTATATTTATAATGTAGGGTACATGGCGATAAACTCTCCACATTAAGAATACATTTTCTTGCAATAATCTTCTTACAAGTAAGGTTGCTCGCAATAATCGCATCTTAGGGGCTTTGCACACTGTCGTCTGGCCTACCCAGGTTGAAATTGACATGGGTCCACCCTGAGCAAAACTGGGTCCCATTGAACACATACATGTAAGGCAAAGCATACAGTTCACACTTACACGATGTTTTTCTCGGGTCAGCTGCAGAGGTTTGGATTATCTAGCCATGTAGAGCGCGCGCTGGACCCATGTACAAACTGTGTTGGGCTCTTCCTAGTGTGAAAGGGATTCCTAAAATCTCCATGGTGGAACCAAGTCCAACGCGGAGGTTTTGGACAGTGTGAAAGGTCCCATGTTTCTGTTGCCAAACCATGATCTTTACTATAAACATTTTATTTTTTTTGGATTCCAAAAAAAAACCCGTGTTCTTTTCCTGATGTGAAACATTCGTGTTGTGTTCAGGTTTTTTTTTTTTTTAAATGTTATCAATTTGTCAAGCCACCTGTGACAAGTTTTAAGTATAAGGCAAATATAGGTGGGTTTCTTTTCAACAAAACGTACTTGTACAAATATTGACACCGAAAACTTACTGTACATGTTCTCAAACTATGAATTAAAGTAAACAAGAGTGAGTTGCAATAAATTAGGTTCACCATCGTCAGGCCGATTATGAATAGTATTTTATTTATGTACAAATTCAATTGTTTACTGTTTATCAAATATAATTACAACCGACGGCAACTCAAAACTAAACAACAAAAAAAGCAAAAGTAATAATAATAAAATATTGTTGAAACCAGGCAAATATATTGATGACTGCCAACTGTTTATAGGTGATACAATAACTTAAAAGTAACATTGATGACTACAAAATACTTATGGCTACATATACATGTACAGCTGATGGGAAAATTAGGAATACGATGTCTGTACAAACGTGGCTCAATCAGCCGATTTACAATTATGATAGTACCTTCAAAATTATTGGTTTATCGCAACTCAGTGTTGGGCTTCACACTTGCCAAGTTGCAATTTTTAAGTCTATACAGCAGTTGTTGGAATACCTTCAAGTAATAGAATTGTGTTCAAAAGTTTACACACTATTTCATTTGAAACTACACTATAATGATATCTTGAAACAGTATCAGCGGATGTATATATAAAAAACCCACTGAATATTTTCAGTAAGCAGCACAGTATATGGAAGACGGTATTGGCACATTTTTTTTTTTTTCATCATCAAACACGTTTGTAAAGCTAAATGTTGATAATTGAATTCGAATATTTTTTTCGGAAAATAGTTTTATCAGCAAACTTGTCTTCATTTACTGCTGCAGTTATTCCTATACAGAGTCTTTGGAATATGAGTGTTTTTGCAGGCTTTCAGTGATGCTAGACAAGTGTATCAACTTATGACAAGCTAGGGCGCCCCCTTTTGGAGATTCACAAATACAGCATGTTTTTTTAACAAAGACATTGACCGATGGGGAACCGCTAACATAGATTAGCCAGCTGGATAGCTCAGTTGGTAGAGCACCGGAACGCCAATCTGGAGGTTGCAGGTTCAAACCCCACTCCAGTCAATTTCTTCGTTCAACTTTGAAACAAATTACACCTTATACATATTCAGTTTCATGATTACAAATGGAAACAGTTCTGTGGGAAATCTTCTGAAGGAATGTGCATAATCAATTAGTCTACCGTGACGGTTTTAGCGTGGTACCACCAACCTCCTCATTTGCGATCATGACTGTTGCCTAGTCAGGAGTCCAGGAACTAATCCTGAGGAACTACTTCGAATTCCCCAATGCATCAGAACATTGGCCAATCAAAGCAGGGCAAATGATTGGTTCATAAATATGTATGAAGTGTAATAATGAGAAATATTTCATAAACAAGCAGGTTTGCAATAATGTCGAAAGTCATTCCCGATGGCAACAGCCAGGGGTTAACACAGGCAAAACATGGCGACTGCAGGCCTTACACATCTCTCAACACAATATCTGTTGAATACGAACTTTGTAAGGAGACTTAGCCATCATGTGTCTGTGAATTCCTTGCCTTACGTACCAATACAAAACACTGCCGATGGGGGTAATGTTAAGCACTGTGTTTGCATGACTTGTTCCAGCTCAAAATGCGAGTAAATCACCAAGTACCATTTCAAACTATTTCCTTTTGTACTTCTAGAATTTAAGGAGTATCAACCCCATGTAATGTAACATGCTCTAGTCCTAATCTGGCCAAATCCTCAAAATCTTGCGGTGGGTAATGGTTCTGGGAGAATTTTACAGACCTTATTCATTGTAGGTATCTCAGAGGCTGTTCTTTGTTTATTTTTTTTAATTTAGTAACCATGAATTCAGAAAAGGTTTGATAATGCCCATCCAAAGGTTTGATATTGGAACCAGGATTCATTATCCAGAGATCTTAAGCTGTAAACACAGTAAAGAGTATCCTTACAGCAGGCTTTGGCTTGAGAAAAACTGCTGTCAAAATGTTGCTGTCAATTTTTAACACTCGGTGTCTGCCTTTCCTGATGTAATCTTAGTAGCACTGTAAACTCAGGGACGTTGGACAGCTTGCACAAAATTGACACGCAGAATTCCATCGTACAGAAAATGTGCGGCAAAAGTGGACCAACTTCTGCGGAATTCTCTTTTCAGATGTGGCACGGTGCACTAACTGGCGAAGTGCTAAATATTGGGCTCCATTAGGGAACTGTAGAGGGCAGTGTACAGTTGACGGACAAGACTACAGTGAGAGCACCACCTTTGCTGGCCCATTCTCAGCATCACAGAGCCGTATCATGATCAACGTGTACCACTTGCCGATGATTGCTTGCGGGGAATGTACGTGAGGACTGGACACACTATGGTGAAAAAGTTCACCAAAATAGCTGCATTGTAGAGAAAGGTTGTTTTAACCATCAGAAATCAAAGTCGTTCTTCCGGTTCGTAAGTGACTGCCTCATATACGCGCATGCACCACTGATTACAAGTGCTCATTGGCTAAACACGCTACCTGGCACTACTTCCGGTTCCATTGGTTCCAACGCTACACATACACATGGTTTAGTTGAAATGACGTCACACTTATGAACTGGCTTGAACAGATAGCTTGTCTATGGTTTCCGGTAATGATAAAAAAAAGGCCCATTTTCACAAGTGTATAGCTGTCGGTGGTTGTCAAACTCCAAAGCTTTGATTATTACTGGAACTGTTCTATCCTCGCTCAGAGTGGAGCTCGTTCTTCTAGCTCTCAAGCCACGACAGGGGCACCCACTGGGGCTCCTGCTGTATTCTGTCAATCTCATGAGTGAGTTCTGTGTAGGCCCTATCATGGTCGTAGTGGATAATGACGTAGTCAAAGTAGTGGCCGTAGGTGTCCTCCATGGCCCGCCCCATCTCAATGATTTCCCTCAACTCCTCCTCCTGCAGGAAGGGATAAGAAGCAACAACCAGCTTGACAAAACTGGACATTTTTCTGACATTATCTTTTTACTGAATCTGGGGTCATTCCATGCCAACTCACTCGAAGGGTTGGCTGGTCCATGTCTCAGAGTTTGTTACCAATCAAGTACGGTATATCAATAGAAGTCAAAAGAACAAGTTTCACCCAGCAGGTCGCAACTCTATGTTGTTTCAGAGAAATGAACCCTTGTACATTGGGCCTGACATTCAACAGGTGTTTTCTTGAAAACGAGAAAGTGTCGAGTCCAGCTTTTTGAAATTTGTCCTTTTGGCTTATAAAGCTTATTTGTAAGTCCAATTTTGTAAGCTACTTTGGAATTACAGGCTCTTCAAGAAATCTGTGAGAAACTGTCAATTTTTTCACCACATAACCACCACATTCAATACTCCACAGCTCAAATTAATCTTCCAGGGCTTAGTTCTCTCAACTTACTTACTCCTCCATTTGCCAGTGTTTTCTTTGTATGACCACCACAACTGCTTTTCTTCTCTCAACACTAAATGACTATTCCCCCCCCCAAAAAAAATGATCCTGGATCAGAGACATACATGTAGAGCTACAGGGTGAGTCAAAAAAGCGAAACCTAAACCCCCAAAAATATATTTCATATATAAAAAAAATATGTTGCACCAAACATAATAATGACTGAAAAGCCAATTTCATAAGCTACTTTTAGATGAAAAGATTACTGAAATTGCTTGTTCCATTCAAAGAATATCACTTAAACACAATGACCCTAAAACCTCTTTCGTTCAAAAATGCGATTTCAAGAATCATCGTCACAATTGTCTTCAAGCATCACCTGCGATAAAACCTCAGTTTATAAGTTAACAATTTTCAACAAAGTCCTTTTGAAGGCTGGTCTTTTAATAAAAGTGGATTGTATAATTCATATTATTTAGCTAAGCAGGGTATAAAGATAGTGTACTACAGTTGTTGAAACAAGTATTCTGTGTCATTTTCTTTGTTGTTCCAAACAGTCAGAACACACAACTAGAGATCTATGTCTGTTTGCAACAGAACATAGGGCTTTTCCGCATTATGATTTTTTTTTTATCAATAATACCCATCCCTGACTATGCATGAACATAAAATCTGTCAAAGTTAGCCGAAAATCGGCTAAAACGGTCACTGTGGACATGATTTGACCTCAGCAACACGTGCGCTGCGGGCTGACTGACATACGATGTATGTGCGTATGTACAACGTACGTGCATGTGCTATACACATTGTGGAAGTCCTGTGCATGTTTTACAGCTCTCTACCGCAACTTGCGTAAGGGTGTTTTTTGCCGACGTCGCGTCAACTGTGTGAACAATTTGACAAGCTGGGAACTTGGCACTGTTGAGGCAAATATTTACGCTATCATTTAATGGGCAATTCAAGATTATATCTGTATTGATTGATTTGTTAGCAATTTTTGAAAAAGAAAAGGTCTTTTCAACGGAACTTCCGGTCTGATGACGTCATACGCCTAAAACTTCGCACACGTCTTAAGTGGGTCAAGATCATCATATACACCAATATTTAGGCGATTCTGACAAACTTCGCCACAGACATTTATTAAAAATACAATTTTGAAAATTTTCAACCTGTCGCTAGAGGGCGCTCGAAGATTACATGACGTCATCAGTAGATGATTTGAAGAATACTATCAGCCAAGAGACTAACACCGTTAAAAGCAAGTTTATATCTATTACCACTTTCAAATGATAAGCCACTTCCGGTTTTGGCCTTTTTCGACTGGAAGCAAGGGTCACGTGATTTCACGCACACTGAATGAAATAAAGACCTCAACCTATTCTACCACTTGCCGGCAACAAAATGCTGCGGACGCGTACGGTTGATTTCTTATGCATTTTTGATTATTAAAAGTGTCACAATTTAATTGCCTATAAATACACACCTGATGACGTCATCATGTACATCAGGTGTACACAAATTTCTGTGTACAAAGTCTATGGGAAAAATTAAATATTCAAAAATCTATAATAAATTAGTCAATGACGTCACCATGACGTCAATCTTCGGGACACATCTGTGCTATAGGGACTATGCTTATGCTAACTTTGAATGATGTATGACAAAGATTAATGCCAAAAGTGGCGTTGAGAAAAAACGTGCACAAAGTCTATGGGATTTAGGCGACAAAAAGAAGAAGCCAAAAAAAAAAAAAAAAAAAAAAAAAATGAGAACAAAAACAAAGGCTTTTCCGCAACTTTGCGGAAAAGCCAATAAAGTACTTTTTTTGGACGAAGGGGTTTTAGGGTGATTGTGTTTAAAAGGTGATATTCTTTGAAAGGATTGAGCAATTTCAGTATTTTTTTCATCTAAAAGTAGCTCATGAAATTGGCTTTCCAGTCTTCATTATTTTTGGTGCTACATATTTTTTAAATATGAAAAATATTTTTAGGGGGTTAGGGTTCCGCTTTTTTGGACACACCCTGTATGTACGTGAAATCTCTAAGGTGTCGACTCTTCATTCCCTCATGCAGAATACATTAAGATTATGTGTGCAGACGTTTTGAATGAATGTCCAAAACGAAATGAAGTGCTTAGTTATTGTGCATTACGATTTTGGGTGTATTGGCTTATTCACGCATCGGTTTTGAATACGAAAGCAAATATGCGAACCGCCGTACAAAACCTGTACAACATTTTGAGTTTTCTATAGGTCTGTGCACAAACATAGATGTGTCCAGCAGGCTACACTGTGTACTGTGCATTGACTCTCTAGTTATTAAATAAAGCTCTACGATCAGAACCAACCTTCAAGAGTTCTCCCGCTTCTGTTCTCTGTTGTCTGAGCCGGTCCAGAGACGGTGGGCAGACAAAGATGAAGTACGGCCTCAGGTCCGAATTCTTGAGGACTTTAAGTGACTGCAATACGAGGTCAAAGGTCATCAAGTTACAATTGGAAACGAAGTCAAGACCAAGTATGCATTGACCAAATATGGAAAAACATCACTGCAAACGACACACACATACTGATTAAAGGTAGCACTGCATAGCAATAGGCTGTGAAAATTTTCAGTGAGAAACTGCACTGCAAATGATGTTGACGTTTATGTTACATTTGGGAATGGGCATTGCATATGCAAATACATGAATGATTGACAATTCTAAAATGGTCAATTACAATTCTCTACATTGAACATTGAATGACATTGTATTTATTTCCAGAAAAAAATCCGTAGAACCACAGAGAGCTGGGGTGGTTTTAGGCAGTACAGGGAGTAATAGGCAGGGCGGTTCGGGCAGTAAAGGGATTAATGGGTTAAGTTATTGTAGGAAAATGTCCATTTGAGCAAAGGTACAAATTGGAACAACACAAAAAACCTTGGGAAATGGCTGCATCTTGGCATGCTGCTGTTTACATGAAGCTTGAATTTGCCAGCACAGATTAGCATTCCCGACATCATGCATTTAATGTTAAACTGCGCACGGTTACTTAAGATATGACATCGTCCCATCAATGGAAATTTTAAGTTTTCACTGTTTGGTTGAGCAGAGTCTTTCACCATTTGACGTCTAACTAAAAAAAAAAAATATTGGACTGAAACATTTTAAACCTTTGCTTTCAAACCAAGACTTTTTTTGGGACTCCTTTGTACCAGACAACTTTTGTGGTTGTTAGCATCCCTACACTTTTAGGACCCTAAACTAGTCCCTGCATTGCAGTGATGTAGTCAAGTCCATCACAAGGCCCTGCAAATCCTCACATGTCCATCACAAGTCCTCCAGTCCCACGTTAACTTACAAGCTATTCAAATGAACTTTGAGAAAGGCAGTATCTGCTGCTATGTACATCAGATTCGAACCAGCCAACCGATCCGCAAGCTCAGTGGTCGAGTGGTAAGACGTCTGCACTAGAAAACAGGAGGTCGTGGGTTCAAGTCCCACCTGAGTGATTTTTTCCCCCCAACTTTCACTCGGGAGGTAACACACTGAGCATACAGTGATTATACGTCGGTGAAGGGCAAAAACCTAATAATGATTCACATCACCCTGACGCAAATTCCATCTTATGAACAGTCTGTCTGTTGTCCTTGTTCATCCCCTGTTGCCTGTGACTGGACTTGTGATGCACTCGACTACAACGCTGCTGTATTGATGTTCAACCTTACAGTCTGAATGACTTGCCACAAATCTTATACAAATACAAAATGAGCAATCTACTTTGAGCACAGGCATGGAGCGTGAACAGCTAAATGACATTTCCATTCTTCAATGAAATGAAGAGAATTGACTTCAACTCGATGTTGGCAGTCTCCAAATTTGTCAAGTCCCTGAAGTGCTAGACCAAAGTCACGGATATCAAGTAAGTAATTTAGCTAGGGCTCGTACGAAAGTCAAAATGCAAGCAAAACACGTAAGTGGGGAAAAGCGCAACCTGGCATTGACATTTGACATCACCCACAACACGAGTTCTGGGTGATGTCTCCAACTTTTAAATTTGAAAACGTGTTGGCAATGGGATGACATATTGAAAAGCAGAGGGGTTGTGGGGGGGGGGGATTGGGTGAGGGGAGGGGTTGGGAGGGGGTTGGGAGGTGGAGGGGGTGGGGGAGGAGGGGTGGAGGGGATGGGGAGGGGGGTTGGAGGGGGAGGGGGGTTGGAGGGGGAGGGGGTTTGACAAAACATGATGATGGGGTGCATTCACAACATTTCTATGTACATTCTCAATTGACACGAACAACTGCGATTCAGGCTGCACCAGCAGTCTCTTATGTTTAATATATGTGACAAATTATGTGGCTTTAAGTACAGTGGAACACCACTATAACGAACATTTGGCTATAAGGAAATCCCCTTTGGTTCCCGAAATAGTAAATTCTATTATAATGCACAATCACTATGATGAACGACCACTATAAGGAACATTATTTATGGATCCCATAGTGTTTGTTATAGTGGCGTTCTACTGTATTGGCATAAGTATATTTTCTTTTTCTTTCTCTGTTTTTTAATTTTTTAATTTTGCTTTATTGTTTTGTTTGGTTAGATTTTGTATTGTTTACCGAATAAAGGGAATTTGCAAGGAAAAACTAAAAAGCACAGCAAACGTTTAAGAAATCTGTGGTCAGGACTGGACCATTCTACTTCTCGTGAAAACTGTAAATGGGCATTATCGCATTAACTACACATATTATGCACATTTTGTATCAACAAATAAGTCAATAATATAAATATCTAACAACTCAAAAAGTACAAGGAACATGCAACATTGGGTTCACAACTTTGTGCGTACAGCTATACTAATTTTGCACGGTATTACACAAGCACTGTCAGCAAAGATTGCATTTGCTGTACGTTTGACAGGAAATCTGAACGGCAGGACAAGGTTTCACAACGGCTCATGCATATGCAAATATGTAAAGGTGCAGTGACTATTATGCAAAGCAGGGCAAGCAGAGTATTAAATATTAATGAGCTCAAAACACACCCTCAAGAAGGCTCTGGCTTTTCGCATGCCATGCTTGAACTCTGCAGCCTAGAGTCGAGGATAAGATAAGAATCAACAGTGCAGGGTTAGTGGTATTATTGTCAACAGTAACCAAGCAGTTAACCCATTATGACTTTTACTACATCGTACTGCAATGTATTACAATGTATATACATCGTGCTACATTGCATTACATTGAATTTCTTCCCTGAAGAATCCATAAGAGCCTAGGTGGTTTTGTTGCGGTACAGTGAGTAATGGGTTAACTACAATGCTGGTTAGTTATCTGTTCGGATGGTGATGACTACATCTATCTCTGGTGACATTCAAAGAGTAAATAAGATCTATAGATATGTTGCATTTGGCAGCCATCTTGGATGTGCCTTCATTATTCTAATTCAGTAACAATGAATGCACATGTCTACCCATGTAAATCTCTGAGGAACAAAAGCATGCACCTCAAAGATGGCTGCAATGCAAAGGATCTATAGTGTTCAGGCAAGCAACTTGGAAGTACATAATGTAGCAAAATAAGAGGAAACTCTTTACCAGACTTTGTACAGTGTTTTTCAATTTTTAATGACATACATTTAAAGTGTGAAGTGAAAAATTAGGAAATCGGCTGATCCGAGGAGAATTTGCATGCCTGAGTGTTGTAGACTGTACATTCTAACCATTCCCTCCTTGTTTTCGCGTGAATTGGCCGTTTATTTCTCTCTCAATATTCTGTGAAAGGCTGTAAGGGAAATCTGGGCAAAAGGCAACAGCGCTGCAATAATGTCTGCAATCCTACAGGGTGGACTCGAACCCACAACCACATTATTTAAAATTTTGGTGATCCTGGTATTCCACTGGCAAACAAATATTAGTTCTTTTGAAAGTGTTAGTGCTTTTACCCAATCCCAAGAATGAGGTTAAATTATCCTCCAATGTATTGGTAGCTCAAACGAAAGTATTACTGTACTGAATAAGCCATTTGTGAGTCAAATTCCTTTTCTTCTTGTACACTTTGTGTATGGGTACACTATTACTTTTGACTCCGTGTCCAAGTACGCCCGCAACAGTTTCACAGGGACTCTTCAATGTACTATCGGTTAAACCTGACACTGATGCAAAGATGCCTCGGGACTTTGTGCACATTCAGAATAAAAGTATTTGTGCGTACTACATGCAAGAGGTGCACCAACTAGTATGTGTAGACTGCGTGTCCCTCCCACTTTCGCTTTCGAAAGTGTTCACAAAACACCCATCTACTGTTCGTACAAAGAGTACACATCACATGAATTGAGTAACGTGAGCCTAATGCCAGCAACCTCCACCTATGGAATGGTTTAGTGTTATTTCTGCTATTTCTCACCCATTGTAACAACAAATTTGTCTAGTGTTTAAAAAACAAACTTATTCAAATTTACCTTACAAAGAGCAAAGGTCAATAAATTCATACAAAACATGAAAACCATCAGAGACAACACTCCATTCCAAAAGACTCAGCTGTGCCTTTTGTGGAGTTAGGAAAGTTACGCCACCTAGCCTGGACTCACAAACTGCCAACCTACCTGGGGATGGAGATTTAACACGCATATCTTGCTCTCGTTCACCACGCCGCGTATGGCCTCCAGGCTGGTGCCGTAGATGTTCTTCTCGTACTCGCCGTGTTCCACAAACTTCTCGGTCTGGATGTCCTGCTCAAAGCGTTGCCTCGTGGTGAAGTAGTAATCCACGCCGTGGACCTCGTGGTCCTTCTTTGGTCTACTCGTGTCTGTGAGAAAAATTGACAAAACACAGAAAAGTCTTTCAAAGATGGCTCGCTGTACAGACTTGTAATATACAGGGTTCCTAGCACTCTATGAAACCAAAATTCCCTGCATTTTCCAAGATATTTCCCCGAGAACTTTTCAAAATTCCATGAGAAATATTATACCGGTAAATAATACACAGGCAACTTGTTGACAAGCGATGGCCTCCCTTCTCTCCTTATAGCCATCCTTTCCTCACCAAATTCCCCGAGTTTTCCCAGATATTTCCCCGAGAAATTTCCAAAATTCCATGAGAAATGTACTTCTGGTAACTTGTTGACAAGCGATGGCCTCCCTTCTCTCCTGGGAACACTAAGTATACTCCACAAAGTCTTCACATGGATATACAACCCCCCCCCCCTCCCCCAATGCTGTGTCCTTCCCACACTGTCTCTCATGGGCTGACCACACATTGCCTCCTGTTTCTGGTTAGACTCATTCCGAGACCCGTGATTGAATCCCGGACGGGTCCACTAGCGGATCGGGTCTTCAGTCCCTACCTGATTCCATGGGTTTTCCTTATAGGATATGGTACCCGTCACTGCGTAATGACCTGCCATATTGCAGTACATGGGCAAAGCAAATAGTTGAAGGGCTGGTTGATTTTTTTTTATTTTCAGGTGAACCTCAATCTGTAAATCCTGTTCTACCTTTCCCCACTTTGTATCAAAAGCAGCTTTAAAACCCGTTTTCATCCCGTTTTATTACTTGACTGCTGTAATATAATAGCGGGATTTTTAGATGCCATTTTCTCAAAAATTATTTGTACGACGTCAATTTAATTGGCAGTTACTGAACTCAGTACCTTTACCGTAAATGTTATACACCATTAGAAAGCTCTTGTTCTGCAGAATCCAGGAATACAAATATATCACTTCTCAAAAAGTCAGACTTTTTGCTCATTTTGTGGGGATGGGTCCCATAATTATTTGTCTTTTGAGTTTCGTTTCATCCTCTGTAAAAGAATATTTCTCCAGAGTCGTCTCTCAATGGGGTTTTTCAGGCTTGCGCGCCACAGTGCTATGGGCACTTTGGAGAAAAACTTGGTTTCATGATAAAAAATAAAGTAATAGTAAAACAAGACCCGGCAAGTCTAGTAAAGTTGGTCCCAGAGCACATGAAATTCCATTCAATAGGGCTCGCTCAATGACGGCCAACTCTGTAGGACAGCTGCAACTGCGTATTTTACGAAATCAAGCATGCATTGTGCAGTGTTGAAAATATTCCAAACATGCACGCTTGTTGCTCGAAATGTGTTTGAAATACGACATAGCCGATGCGCGGTATGCAATGTCGATGCACGTGGATGGTCTGTAGGAAATGACGTCATTTGAACGAGACGTATTCAATCAAGATGGCTATCCACTGGAAGTCTTGTCAAGCATCTGGTCTACAATGGGCCAGATTTAGCCCATTGATTGGTGTTACGGGGTAATCCTATACAATAGCACTGCCCGGCTCACAATTGACAGTTAGTCAGTGAGATAGCTACAAAGAGGACACTCTGGTACCAGCAATGATAATTAACACCTACGTGGTACAGCAGCTGCAAATCTGGCCTCCGACTCCAACAATCTCTGTCTGAGCTCGTGCCGTCCAACCTTCGGCGGCCCAATCAGTACCACAGGTCTCTTCTTATCGGGGTTGGGAACGTACAAACCCACTTCCTCGTAGGTCAGAATCTCATCGCTACTTTGATCTGAGGGAAGAAATCGGAAGACGGCAGGTGCTAAAATATATTTGCTTTTCATGCGTTTTGTTCATTTCCAGTAATAACACCACTCAAAATCCAAAGGAGAATGTTCAAAACCCAACCTGTTGAAGAATTTCTCAAAATTCAGAATTCTGGATCCCTAGCTCGACTTCATCTTGGTTTTAAAAACAAATTTTGGAAGAGCTGTGTTTTACCATTTCCATTTGCATTGTAGAGCTTTTTCTTTTTCTTCTTTTTCTTGGATCTGCCGCCACAGAAAAACTTCTTCTTGGGTTCCTCGTCATCGGGCATCGTCTGCTTCATGGCCTCTCGTCTGCCGAAGACAATTTAAGACACAGAATGGCGCTCAAAGGTATATACAAACATCGGTTAGTACGCAGAATGAACCGCCAGATTTAATGACACAAACCTTGCTGAAAGGGAATATAGGGCTGGTATCCAATATCCTGAGAAATATTATTCCGCCTTCAATCGTAACGTTCGGCAGAAAACAATCATTCAAGCGTGCACTTACGTCAATAACCTTCAATACACGTCAGTTCGTTGGTAACATTATGGCCCCCTCGTTTGTTCAAGAATAAGGCCGATATAGGTAACTGGCTTAAAGGTCAAAGGTCACTTACCGCTGTTGGAAGCTCCGGCTGGGAATCAGACCGGCCAGCGTTTGGTCCTCCTCCTCATCACGGTACGCCTGCCACCAGTTGGAGTCGTCCTGCGCTATGATGTGCAGAATGTCCCCCTTGTGGAAGGACAGGCCCAGCTCCCGGCACGGGATGTACATGTCGTCCTCGGGGTCGTAGTCAAAGTGCGCCCTCATGTGAATCTATGCAGAAAGACACACAAAACAAGTGAAATTACTTTTTTGAAAACAAATCAACCGATGGTAATGCAGTTAAAGATATAGTCCAGCTTTAGCTGTATATTCCGAGAACAACAGCATTGTAGGATCTCAATTTCAAATCAAAAGTTGCTGAATCATGTTTTGAATTGGGCCTGAATTCAGCGTCCGAGACACGTTCTCACCGAGCCGATTGCAGCTACGCGATGTCGCGCACTGATCCGACGAATTATAGCAACCGCGCAAATAACAAAACGAACTACTAATTTAAATTTCCTACGGTGCGTCTTAAGAAGCGCCGAATAACAAAACGAACTACTAATTTAAATTTCCTACGGTGCGTCTTAAGAAGCACCGTTGGAAAGGCCTTCTTTCCTTGATTACTTCAAAATGACAGCTTGCCAGAAAGAATAATTTCACAGGGAGTTTAGTCCCCTTACTTTCTTTCAACCAAGTATGTTTTTCAACAATAATAACGCCAAGTTACTTTTCGGATAGCTGCAAATGATGGACTATAGCTTTAAGCAACCATAGCAAAATAAATTTGAATCACCTAGTTTGTACTGCAATTAGAAAATAGCAGGCAGGAGATTGATAATTGAATCTGTTATCTTTCTGTACATTCGAAGAAATAAATGAACCAAAATGTGCCTTGACAAAATGCTGCCGCAAAGGTTTTACTTTTTGCTTTTTGTCTTTTGGTACCTTTGCTTGCTTAAATGTTTTATTGCAGATCTAACTACAATTAGGAAAAAACATAATAATGGATTCTGGTTCTTGCTCTGATGGTTACTGCGCAAACACCTCCCAAGTGGTTATCTGGCACAGGTCGGAGTGGTTGGCGCAGTGAACTAAATCTTAAAGTGGGCCTTGTTTAACTAAGCCGAGGAGATCTAGGTGCTCAATTCCCTCTTTTAAAAGCTTCGGGAGCAGAGCAAATGTTGTTTCAAAGCAGAGAAAAAAAATTCAAATCATTCCACAAACTTTCACTTCAATATTCAACCAATATACATGTAAGAGATGGACTTCATATGCAACCAATCCTGACAATTGTTTTTACCCATGTAGTTCATGTCAATATGTGTAAGACCGTCAGCTCAGCCGGGTGCTATGACACTCAAGAGCAGGGCATGCTATTTATAATGCATTATTAAAACAAAAACGTCCTTGAGCCTCATTTGTTTTTTGATCCAGTCCCATATGGGCAAAGTGTATTGGTCTACCTCCCCCCCCCTCCAGGAACCAAGGTTGGACAATCTCAGTTGGACTGATGAAATTGCTTCCTTAGTACTTACCAGGGCATTGTCTTTGGGCTGTTGCCTGACGTTAGGCTGCTTGGTAGGCACTATGAGGAATGTAAGTGTTCCTGAGAGATTACTCTGGACAAGACAAAAAAGGGGAAACATCTGTTAACGCGAAAACCAAAGCACTAAGTTAAACCGATGAAACAGATGAAAATATTCAGTGTGAAAAATATGCTAGTGCTATTCACACACTGTCACAGAACTGATAGAAAAACTTGAATTTTGACAAACTGTCACTCACTGTCACTTCTCAGACGGTAAAAAAGAAAACTTTTGAATGCCAATTGTGGGGAATTTTTGAAATGAAAACCAGGCTACATGGAAAACCAAAACAGATTTTATGTCTATCGGCATTTTACAATTGTAAATTCTTTATAGCCGCACTGTGCGAACTTGTCGCTTGCTGCATTGACGAACCAATGTGGTAGTGTTATTGTGAACACCTTTATGAACGATTTGAACAGCAAATTCTGGAACATGAATTTTGGGGGTTGGGTTTCTTTCGCGGGTACCCAGGTACGCATGTTTTACCCGTGTTTGTTCCTAAACCCGTAAATGCACACCACTACTGTTCATGTACGATCACAAAAAAACAGTGTTTGGCTCTTATTTGGGAGTATCCCTCACCATGACATCACAGATTTCGTTGACCGATTTGCCTCGGACGTCCTGCCCGTTTATTTCTAGTATCTCGTCCCCTTCATGCAGCATTCCGCTCCGTTCAGCCATGCCGCCCTTGATGATCCGACCGATGATAATAGCATCTCCATCGTTCAGAATCGTTGCTCCCTGTCACAAAAACAAAAACTTACATTCAGTCACGTGTTAAGACGTTTCCTTGTAACCAAGCGTTTGCCTTGCAATGGCTGTTAACCCTTTAGTCACTGTATCACCCCAATCCGCCCTGCCTACTACTCCCTGTATTGACCGAAACCATCCGAGCACTCAATGGTTCTATGGATCCTTCAGTGAAAAGATACAATGTTATACAATGTAGTACATGTCCTAATGGTTATCATCTTGTACCTCATCCATGCTGTATATACACAATACTAGCACAAGTGCATTAAGAAGCCATGTACTTTCAAGTCATTGTCATTTACAAAACCGGGAATCATAACATCTATATAACAAAATGTCAAACAGCAGAGTTGTTTTCCCCAGTGTGAAAATGGATACTGTTTGACAGCATCCACATGAATTGGATGAAATACAAGTGATGAAAACCAAAAAAGGTTTTTCTTAAAGTCAAAGTGGAATGATTTTTCTCTCAAGTTTGGGTCTTTTGTATTATACAACCCCCCGACTAAATCCCCGTGATCTGATTGGTTGGTTGTTGATCACATGTCATTAAATTATTTGTCCCAACCAATGGTCCCAGCCACACCCAAAAAACAGAAGTTCCATTCCAAGTTGAAAAGAAATTCCACTCCACAGTAAATAAACTTCCATTGCACGGTCACACAATTACCAATCAGATGACGAGGATTTATTGAGGCGTTGTATAAAACAAATAATGAATGTTTCAAATTCATGCAATGGAAAGAATTATTTCATTTGGTGACAGATGGAATGTTTGCCTCAGCTTTGCCTCGTGGAATGGAAGATTCCATCTGTCGCCTCATTAAATTATTCTTACCATTGCACTAATAATAGTTATAAACATTTGTGATGACATCAAGCTAAATGAGTCGTTTGTCGGCCCTTATCACTTTTTTTTAAACATTTTTGAATAGAGCTATCTTTCAGTTTATATTGGTGAAAAGCCCATGTGAATACGACCTTCCGTTCATAAGTTATGGGACTTAGAACACAGGCAGATCAGAAAGAAGAAAACAGAGAAATCAAACCGAGAAATCAACGGTTCAAAATTGAAGTGTTTATTAAGCAACAATAAACATGGTTTATTTCAAGTTATTGAATAGTAACTCCTTGGCAAAAATGTCACATTTTAACTACTTTATGGTGACTTTTTCTCGAAAAAAAAAATAGTTGACATGAAAGAGGAAATATGTAGCCTTCCAATTTTACCAAAAAATCAATTTTGAAATGTCCACCCCTACTGACCTATTATGGGCTTTATCTTAAAATCATAATTGCTGACAAACGACTGATTTAGCTTGATCGCATCATATTTGGATACTAGACATAAGAAACTCAGAACACAGAACTTAGGATCGATAACACAAAATAGAGAATCTTTTGTCTTTAAGCCTACCAGAGGTTCGTTGGACTTGTCAATCCGGACTATTTTGACGGAGTCCTCCTCTACCATGTCGCTATCGTGGTCTTGTTCCTGGTCTTCAGGTCCAAGCATCAACGTGGGATCCCTGGAAGCGATCTTGTCATGGGCTGACAACAAGGCCTGTAGATCATCACCAAGAACAAATACGCGTTAGGTAATAAACTGGGCTCCGTAATAAAAAGAAAACTGATCAATAAAAAAAAATAATACTTATCAGAGAGAAAAGTGACTCTGTTATGCTGTGACAGAACTCCCAGTTGTCACTTCTTGATCTGATAATAGCGGTTTACTCTCTGTACCATGAAAGTCAAATTGTGACTTGCCAAATACATTAACATTCCAATGCAGTTAGCAAAATTCAATAATGTATTCTACATTCACACCGATGTGACAGCTTGAAAGGGTTCAAGGTGGTTGTTTTTCCAGAGTGGAAAATATTATTGGTTGAAATGCAAAGAAGAAAAAAGGAAAACCTTATGAGCAGCATTCCAAGCTCACAATCTTCATTAGAATACCAAGGGCAAAGATGCTGAAGAAAACGGGCCAAAGGGCTGTACCAAATATCTGAATAGCAAGATTTTTTATTTAAATGTTTTAAAAAAACGGTTTGAGGTCTCAAGGAGAAAAACAGCCACAATGTTCTGTTGCGTTGTTTATTGTTGTCAAATGCCACACATTTGTTGGAATCCATGAGGAATATTAGCTCAAATTTCTTCGTTAAAATTAGTCTTTAAAATCGGTCAAATATCAGCCATTCCGCTGTCTCTTCTTCAGATTAGTTTAATAAGATCTTTGTCAATTTCTGACAACTGCAGGAGCATGTAAATCCAAATTGGCGGCCAGTTTAGTCTGGCAAATTTTAAACTTGATCAGCGCATTTGGAATATTGCATTGGCAAGTGATCTATCAATCAGGCATGGAACTGTAAATTAAAAAAACAAAACGAGGAAATTCCAAACCACACAAGACTTTGTACAGTGGTTTTTAAATTTGTAATAGCATTCATGAGAAGTAAAATACGAGGAAATCAGCGGATCCGAGGAAAAGTTGCATGCCATAAATACATTTGTTATCAAAGAGAATAATTAAGTGCCAAAAATACAAAGGAAATACACGCTCAAGAAAAAAAATAACACTTTAAGTGCTACCGCCTTTAATACACAGATCTCCAAACAAAGATGCTGGACAATACTTATTTTGCAGACCCTAAAACTAAACGGCTAACATTAGATGTGTGACATATGCCCACCCCTTTTTTCTTATGGCAAAGAAACCGAAAACATTTCCCGCTAAAAAAACGAAGAAATTGTGGCCGACTGATTTATGACAGACTGCCATAATCTCAGAGGAATATAGAAGTGACTTCATGTATCCGCACTCTTAGGCAAAAGATTTTATCAGATGTATAGAGTGCGCTGATCTCACAGGCAATATTTGCCACGGACACTGAATGTAGTTCCCTTGGTGGTTTTTGTAGTTTGCCATCTTGGATGGTTTCTTGTCGGAATTAAAAAAAACCTGCCAACTTGAGTCAGCTGAATCAAGATTAACTGTCAAGATGGGTCAAAGAGCAAGGCAAAGCTAAAAAGGGTTCAAAGCTCGGTAACAAACCGCAAATTTCTTCAAAACCACCGAGGAAACAATTAATATAACATGAATGCCCCAAAGACGCATAACTTCCGCAACAGAAGTCATGACCACTATTTTGTACTTTTACATGAACATGTATACGAACCCTCACATTTTAGATAACATACACCACATGTACTGGTATGTACATGTATGGCTGGTACCCAAACGTTGTTTTTTTTTTTTACTTTTCTCCTATTCGTTTACAGTCTGCTTCCATCCCAACTTGATATGGATCACAAGTTATTTGGATTTTATCTGGATTAGTTTGACACAAATTGAACAAGACTTTATGCTCAGTGGAACGTCCGTGAAATGTCTGTGATGTCCTTATCTAAATTCCACAAGGGTACTGGCTAAAATACATTTAACACACAACATTTTGCAAGCGTACAGATAAGGTTAACACGCCATTTAGGCAGGGGAGAGATGAATGAAAGATCCAGGAGATAATTGGCAGAGAGTTTGAGGGTAGCTGAGGGGCTCAGAGCAACAAAATGGGTATCATCCCTTAAACTACCGGTACGTCCCTTTTACGTCCCATCGGAAGGACGAAGCAATAACGGTTGAGTGCCTTGCTCAAAGGCAAAAGTGTCCGGGCCCGGGCTTGAACCCACGCCACTGTTGCCTCTGAAACACCAGAGCATGAGTCCAGTGTTTTTAACCGCTAGGCCATCTCACCCCATGTACGATGACCTACCGGTACATGTACATACAGCACATGTCACTCCACCCTTCACATGTTTAGGAGAAGTAACTACACTACTGACAGTGCACACATTGACAAACATGTACATGTACATGTACATGTACATCCCAAAATCTACAGTAGGTACATTGTATGCACAAGACTGTCGAGACTTGCAGCATCCTATTAGTAACACAGCTAGTCTGGACACTTCAGGACCACACCCTACATTCAGACAAAACCTTACCTGCAGACTGAAAACAACAAGTAAATTTTCATTCCATTGGGTCTAGCCAGGAGACACTGCAGGCATGGCAGAACAAGTCACAGACAAGAAAAAAACCACCAGACTTGTAGATGACAAGTCTGGAAACTGCTTGAGAGGATCTGCTCGGCAACCAAGACCTGAGCAAGGCTGAGATGAAAATAAACAGAAGTCTGTCCCCCGCCCAGGATTGTCAACCTTTGACCTTTGCATCCCAAAACCACCACCTTAATTGGAGACTGGAGTATTGTGTACAAAGAAATTGTAGGTTGACATTGTCCCTGGATTCAATGTGCGAGAGCTCACTTGACCTGAGTGACCCTGGAATGTGCAACTCAGTAGGTCTGGCATATGGGTCTATTCCCCTGCTTTTTAATGGCTTTGGCCCTCAATCTCTGCAGGGTATTGTTTCTAATTTTTATAACTTGGTAATAGTGCAATGTTATATACAGTGTAATGGATATATACAAGTACACTGCGACTGTGAGGGCACAAACCAAAGTGCTAAAAGATTCACAGATAATGCAAACAGCAACAAAGAGAAACCAACATTTCAACAGAACAGAAAATGAACACTTGCTTCAATGAAAGGATGTGAAATGTTCAGAAAAGCCAGCAAATGACAAGAGGAAAAATGTTCATGTTAGAGAATTTACAGGGGCAATGTACATGTAATGCGCATGGATTTCTTGTTCAAAATTAAATGCTTTTCCAATTTAAGTTAATCACATATAATTTTTGCAACGGATGAAAATAGATAGGAAAGAAGAGAAATTTATCTTTAAAAAAAAGATAGAAAAAAAGAAGAAGAGAAATAAGGGAGCAACAATTCTCACCAGAATGGGAGACTTTTGAGAGGCTTTAGTGGCAGCTAACACACTGGTCCTTTTGAACAGTTTGCATCACGTTTAAGCTAATGTGTGCGTGTTCAAAATGTCACAAACAATGGAAATGGACTGGTGTGTTTGCTGCTACCATTCGCTCTTTTCACACTCCGCCATTGGGCATGCAGAACCTCGATCTGGCAACTTTACACAATAAAAAATAGCCGGTTCAGTGATCTGAACCCCGACACGGGAATCACTATATTTATTGTGTAAAGTTGCTAGATCGAGGCTCTGCATGCCCGTGGCGAAAGTGTGAAAAGAGCTAATTACGTGTCAAAAAATCATCTCATTGGAGGACTGAAAGCCGAGAAACAAAGATAAACACAGGCACAAGAGGCAGTATTGCTCTGTTGTTTAGAAGGAATGGGAAGGGCTGCGACAACAAACGTTAACCCTAACCTTCCCAAATCCTCCAAAATCCTCTTTGCAAAACAGAGGCTTGAGGCTTGCACCGAACCTTGAGTTGTTAATGTTCAGCCGTGCATAAATTTAGGCCTAGATTATACCATACTTGAAATCCTCCACACTGCTCAAGGATGTCACTGGCTCTGCCTCAACATACTGACATTAATTGCCGGAGGTTTTGCAGGATTGAGGCAGTGGTCACCCCTCCAAAGACCACATTCGAGAAATACCGGAGGATTTTGCAGGATTGAGGTTGCATCCTAGCAAAAATGCCTAGGGAGTTATTGGGTTAACAGAACTTGGATCTTTTACAGAACACCTGGTCACGGAGTGTGGGCTCCGTGCATGCATGAATACTAGATGGTGCTTCATCACCACTGACAACAGCTCCAGTGGGAGGAACACACCACGAGCACGTACTGTTTCAGGCACATATGCCACAAAGCATTCATAACTAAGTTTATTCTGAATGTTCACCTATATCTCAAGCACAGGCCTATACAGAGGCAATGCATTCATAAGCCTCTCCTAGTAGTCCCTCCCAACTTAATACTCTTTCTAACTGTTTGAGGGGCTAGATGTACATGTACTCCATTGGATGGCTAGAAACGTGACCTGATCTTAAGATAGCGAGGGCGAAGGAGTGGCAACACTGCTTGAAGGTCCAAACCCACCATGGAGAAACCACAGCCGGCTTGCTACATGTCAACTCCATGCACAAGAACCCCCTCAACGGTCTTTGCACTGCTTATGGCACCTTATGCTCACATAAAAAGCCATGGTTTAGGCACATTTAGAATAAAATCAATAGTGCGAACTTCATGCAATATGAATGAGAATCCAAGCACGTTCGCTGTGCGTCCCTCCTTCTGGGGTTCTCGAAAGTGGTCACCAGGTGCCATCAACTGTTCATACTTGTGAGTCCATACTTGTGAAGCCACGCATAGACGGACAAGATGTTCTCGAACATGTGGAGAGCCAGAATGCGGTAAGAAACACTCACACAAACAGTCCGCTCCAGACGCTATAAAAACAGGATCAGCCTTTCAGCTATCTCAGCAAACCGCTTCCCTGGGTTGATTCCACTAGCATACCGTACATGTAGAACTTCTGGCCAGGGAGTGCCTTGACAATTTACATAACATGAGCTAGCACATACATGTACCCCTTGTTCACTCACCCATGGGTACAGTATGAAAGAATGACATATTTTTGCGTATTCGCATAAAGGGAATTACCCTGAAAGCCTACTTTAGCTGACCTGACCCAGGAAGGAGAATTAAATATCCACAACTTACATGTACAATGTACATTACTTAGTAGCTACCCTAACAAAGTCAGAAGATGTACATGTGACTGACTGCACGCTCCATCAACTCTGTCATGACCCTGTTATGGATCAACTCAAACTTGCCCTAGCCAAAGAAATTAAACTACTAAACTTGCTAAATGTACAAAAATGATGTACAGGTACAAACTGTACATGTACATGTACATACAGGTTCTCACAGCACCACAAGAAGTTCAGGCTGCTTTGTCATTCACAAAAAAAAGACCTTTGCTTTGATTCTATATCTTAGCTCTTTCTCCAGCTGAGAGATGTAATGAACTTGTCTCCCGTCCTCTCAATTTAAGTCAAGATGGAGTTCCACCAATGCTTTGAATAAGCCCACTGCTCCGAGGTATCATTCATAACCAAGGCTTCATCCAGCTACCAACTATGAAAGATATCTAATGCAGGCAGTTGCTTCCATCACTTTCAATTATCCACTCTCCAAGAAGGTCTGACTAGGGTCAAACCTGCTGGACTCCACAACCCCTAAAATTAACTTCCCGGAGCGCAAGTTCAACTCGGTGGGTAGTCTACATTATTGAAAGTTCAAATAACGTCATTTGAATCTGTAATTGATACATTCTTCATTCTTCCTCAAGAATGTTTTTCCATATGTACAAATGAGTGCTAATCTATCAGTGGTGCCATACAGGTACAAATGTACATATCATGTACATAATATGTGTATTCTTCATGGCTTAAAGGGAATATACAACATTTGCAAACATCGAAAAATAAAACTACCAAGTTTTTACGAAATACCTTACTAGGATGTTGGTAAATGACAGTCTCAAGCATCTTGTAAAATTATGGCACCTGGTGTGAAGTCATTTTCGAGAAAATGGTATTTTTGTATACATTTCCAACGGTGGTCGGCCGACCAGCGTTAGAAAAACCTAATTATTTTTCAACTACTGCTCCAAATTTACCATTTTTTCAGTCCAAATTTTGTTTGCTATTGGTTACATGTTCATGAACGGGTGCAGGCCAGCTAAGACTGGTTCCCTTGCCTTACAATTTTCCATCATCTATAAATTGATCCATTTTATCTTTTGTGGAGTCAGGGAACCAGACTACTTGAACATTTTTGTTTTTCTTGGTTTTTCCAACCTTTTCGAACACAAAACTTAAAAAATGTCAGTGTAACAATATTTGATCTATTATACTTATCCCTCAAATAGTTCATTTCCGAAAATTACAGCAAAGCCAATGATGTACATTCCCTTTAATAACGCAAGCACAAAACTAACTTTTTTGCATGGGTGCATTTTACAACATTCTTCACTTTCATTATTTTTTCGGACATTTTTCTAGTAATTATTTCAATAAATGACATCACAGCTTCCTAAAATGACACCACAGTAACAGCCCCCTCGTCAAAAAAAAACATAATTTGAAATGTTAAAAAAGTGCACTTTTCAATGAAATTAACCCATAAGGGATGTCAAATAGTTTTCAAAAATTTCAGAGGAGTATCAAGTTGCACAAATATACACCCAAGTAAAATTCATGTCATAGGCCCATACATAAAACAGTACACAAGCCTTCTATTTCACATGTAATCTTACATGGGTGTACATGTAGGTGTGCATGGTTTTGGTAGATACTGATGCAAAAAGGCCAACAAGCTATTTTTACTGCAGGTTTGATAAATTACTCTGAATGTGCCACTTTTTTGCTGGACAAGTGTTTGATTGTTTTGTTTTAAGATTCAGACAGGTTCTGAGTGTTGGGAGGGGAAAAAGGTTTCGGGTCAGTGCTGTCACTGAATCGAAATATCACAAAACATGACGACTCCGACTTGGCTAATTTTAGTAATACCGTAATTAATGAAACGGCTCACAACAAAATCGATGCTATCTGCAACATTGGTTGGCCCGACAACATTTTGCAAGCCTATTTAAATCCAGCCCACAGGAACCAAACAATTATGAATTAAGGTCATCTGGCCTCGTGAGATGACAAAAAAAATTCAGTTTTATAATAAAAAAGTCAAATATAACAAGATACTATAATTTCTATAATAAGGAACTTAATAATATTTCCTTTCATGTGTGCTTCTATTAAAAGTGCTCGCATGATAAGTGTGTCTCCGGCCTGAGATGGGCAACTTCCCCTGCAACTTCAACTTTTTTTTTTTAAATACACAAAATTGGAGCATACATTTTTGCTGGTCCCAGAGAGCCAGCCTAGTGTCCTCATTGTAACTGACTGACTGACTAACTGACTGATTGTCATTTGTGACCTTAACTAATTGTAGACAGGTGAAAAGAGCCGGGCAGTGCTCTTGTATAGGATTACCCGCTGCGCTATCGTTACAATGAATGTTAAAACCTCACAATTAAAGGAAAATTCATAAATATTACATGCATAAGGATGGAGCAATTAAGTTTGCAGACTTAGCAAAAACCTTCATTTTTTTATCGCGTTCCAAACAATGTTTGCTTGGCATTTCTTTTTTTGAATATTTCGTCGCAAAAGTTTGAAAAGCACGTGTGCATCGATCGGTCGATGACATTTGCGTAGTGGCCGGTAGTGCAGCAGATTTGGTTCTGCTAGCATTCAGCCTAGGATATTTTTGGTGGCAGGAACCAGTATATCCAGTGCACTGTGGATGCGTTGCACGAACACGCAGTACATACGTGTACAATTGAGCAACAAGCTTGTAGCAACGCTGTGCGAAATGTATGATTATTCCTTTCTCTCTGTTTGGTCCAAAGCCAGGATTGCAGTGAAACAGAAGCTTGATGTTTACTAAATGGAGGGCGAACATTTCGTTTTGAAATTTTAATTTCATTTTTTTGGTCATCAAAAGTGGCATTATTTTTTCGGAGCCGATTTAATTTTTTTTTTTTTTTAAATCCATTTGTTTTCTGCGGTGATTCCATAATCCAAATTATTTTAAAAATTGCCTAAAGACATCAAGAGAAAAGCCATTCTGAATGTACTATACATGTGCTGAATATACCAAATATAAATTTGGGGTCCACTTTCTTTCCTGTCCCTGTTCCTTCTGACATCTTTGATTCTATAATTCTGATGCACTCTATAATGCAGTCATCCTCCAAAAGAGATTGTGAATAGCAAAAAACCTACCCAATAAATAAAACAATTGTTTGAAGTCATTGTTAATGACAGTTGAAAGGCAAAACAAAACAGAGCCAAGCTTCAGGGGCAGGAAAATGTCGCACTTTGGATCCTAAATGTATTGAATGGCCCATATAAGTTTGAATGATCTGGGACCTGAGTTAACATGCTTGCCATGGCCATTTTTTCAACGGTATGTCCATAAAAAAAATTCTCACTCTCAAAATCCAAAGAGATTCCTTACCCTGAATTCCGGAGTCTCAAGTATCCTGATGAGCTCCTCTGCTTCATCACTCTCATTGGCTTTAGTCTCGGCTTTCACCTGGAATGCAACAAAGACAAACGAGGTATGATAAAACAAAAAGAGAGCAATAATGAAACATGACTAATGACAAAATGCTCCAGTCTCACCCGGGTCATCCATCATGATAGTTGCTCTGCTAGGCTTGGGCAAACAATACCACTTTTTGGAACCAGCTTTGATTATGCCCAGGAAATCAGGGGTCACACTTTCATTCTGAAAATGGTCTGCCTGTTATAAATTTTATATCAAGACCTTTCAACAAGGCCAGCCCAGTGGTGAAAATAAATCAGGTGACTGTTTTTAACAGTTGAGTGCTCCCTGCCTTCATAAAGCAGGATTGACTGGCTGTGCTTGTTAGGAAACATGATACAGCTATGTTTTGGCTGTAGGAGATTGATAAGCTGGATGTGCCTACCAGTCACCTGCTATTGACTGTTAACAGATTTTGACTGTCACAGTGCCTACAAGAAATATGATCTGACTGCTGGTGACTAGCCTGTGTAAAAGGCATGGCAGGGGACGAGGATTGACTTTTTGACTGTCTGTGACTGATCAAACAAATGGAGGGTTAAACAAACCAGAGAGGGAAAACCATATTAGGGAAACTGACAACGGTAGGTGCACATATAATATAACAATTATAAAACTGAAGAAAGAAATAAACTGGAGCAGGGTTTGACCCTGCGACCTCTGGGTTACTGTACCGGTGCTCCACCAACTGAGCTATCCACCCCTGTATATTTTCCTTTGAATGAACATTGGGAATGTGCCTACATGTACTTTTCCTGACTCCATTGGCAAGTTCTCACAGTTCACACACATTTTACAGTACATTTTGCCCAGTCCAATACTCAAAACAACAGCCAAACGATGCTCCGTAAAAGACTGGTCGGGGGAACAGTTTTATTATTGAAGGGAAAACTACATGTATCTTTGATCCAAGGCTTAGTGAGACGTAATGGATATTTCCACTACAGCCAGACAACAGGATTTAGAAGGGGAAGCGAAATGACAAATACACACATGGAGGATTGGGGGAGGGGACATAAATATACCCAATTTTTCGTTTAGTCTTTTGTTTATTGATTTGTTTTTGTCCAACTGGCTTTCCAAACCAATCAAAATTGACAACAGTGTCCTTCTAACTTTATCAAAATAGAAACATCTTTGTTTATTCGGTCCACCAGACTTGAAGGATTCTTTATTGGCGATTTCCCAAGTCAAGACAGATGTCAATGCGTGGTGGTTCCAGACCAATCAAACGAGACAGCTGTTGTTGAGAGTAGATTCCAAAATAATCAAAGTGTGTTGACCAAACAGCAGGCGCATCCCAATTATATGACCTTGCTTCAGGCACCACTTAAACTCTATGCACAAATTCACCTGTGTTTGATCATAAATACATCTATTCTAACACTTGTATTACACTGTAATTACTCCTTGATGAATCTAGAAAACCATGTACTGTGTTTTGGCAGTTTGGGGCAATTTCAGGAGTAATTGGCAGGGCGTATTGAGGGCAGTACATGTACAGGGACTAGAGGATGAAGCCAACTTGCAAAGTACCTACATCCATGTCCTCACGCTTACCCCTACTTTCATCTTGGGTACACATGTAAGATGCACATGCGCAATCTGTAGCAATAAACAAACGATCGCGGTTTACTTGAGGTCAAGCCATAGCAACCTGGACCGGGTCAAGAGGTCATGTGACGATTGAATCCCCTTTGCAAATGGATTCGAGCCGTCGAAAGGAAGCCACGGTGGCCACTGTAAGGGTGTACGGGCTCTTCCAAAGAAATGCCGGTTATAATGTTTAAAGTAAACGGAACTTTCCCTCTGTCATCTAATACTAGTGTGAAGTGAAGCTGACATACTTTTAAAATCCCCTGCCGCAACAGCGTTAGACTTAGCCGCTATGTTTTCGCATTGTATTGTGGGATACTTACCCAAGTAACCTGCTCAGCGGGTCGGTTACTTGGGCCAGGCTCGAGTAAAGCGCAAGAAGTCACGTGAGAGTCAAATCGAACGCAGTCGTGCAACAAATTCAGAGAGCCGTGCCAGTGGTATCCCCCAACATTCCCTTTTGTAAGTATTGAGGGGGAACTTGTCCATAGTAGTCTGGACCTAATTACCAGTATCTACATAAGGTCACAAGGATATACACGTACATGTACTATTTTGTTCACATTAAAACGGCATCTACCATAGATGGACCCATGTTTATTTTGTTCTTTACAAACTGACCCCCATTGGCAAGACGCCAGTTTATCTTAACTCGTAATACCCAGTACTTCAGACAGGAAAAAAAGTGTCTAGAAAGTTGGGTGCACAGCCTGTACTTACATGTCCGATAACATTCCCTAGGGCCGCACAGAGCCTTTGCCCTGATCAGGACACGGATACTCACTGCCTTATCAGACACTGTCTGCTCAGACTGGATCTTATCTAAGACATACTTGATGACCATGTACTGGTACTGTATGCGATAGGTTTAGTATCTGGACTGCAGCCAGTTCTCTAATATCTGTACTCCGCGAGTAAACCAAGTTCCAACTTGGCAAATTCCGACATAAGGTTAAAGGGAACGGACACGTTTGCAAAGAATGTATTTTTGCCGTTTCAATGAACAATACAATAAATCTGTAGCAGGTTATTAAAAACTAACCCTTTGAAATTTCAGCTCAGTAGCTTGATAATTTTTTTTAGGAAACTGTGGAAATGCATCTCAATTTTCTCGACGCAAAGCAAGGTTTCCGTTGAAAGCCCTCCTTTCCAATATGTTCATTAATACGTTTTGACTTGCACCCTTTTGTGGTATGATCCCCAGTTTGTCACTCAGGAAAAATAATTCAAATTTACGGACCTGAACATGAAACCAAAATTTGCAAATCTAAACTGCATTCAAATTTGGTCAATCTGGGGCAATATTATATAAACATGTTGTCTTGCGATGGTTTGGTCCTATCCATTGTGAGGAAATGACGGCAATTTCTCTTTTATCAAAACTGACAGCATACAAGGCAATCAGGTACCGGTAGGATATTTCGTAATGTTTTGGCAGTTTGAATGATTTTTGAATGTTTGTAGATGGTGTCCATAACATGTAATTATGTACTCTACAAATTTGTGAATTGATCGAAAATTTGAAAAGAGAACTAGGGTTGAGAGGCTCTACACAGGTAGAAAATCCAAAATCTACAGCCAGCTCACATACATGTACACTCCGGTGTAACATGTGTAAGTGTGAATGATATGCCTTGCTGACCTGTGTTCATAGGATCTGGTTCTGCTCACGGTGGACCAATGTTGGTTTCAACATGGGCAGGCAAAACGTTAGTGTGAAAATGCCAAAAGACATTTTGGACAGTGTAAAAGCAAAGAGGATTGCACTGTGTGGTGAATACATGCTTGTAAGTTCTCTTCCATTAACCCCAACCCACCTCAATCCTCCAAAATCGTCATTGCGGTTTTGGAGGATTGAGGAGGATTGAGGATGAATGGTGTTTGAGAAACACGAGGATTTTGGAGGATTGAGGATGAATGGTGTTTGAAGATGAGGATGATTCTGGATTGAGGATGAATGCATTTTGAGGCAGGACTGTCTGATGATTTTGAAGGATTGAGGCATTGGTTATCCTTCATTTGAACATGAGTGCACAATTTTGAGATGAGGATTTTGCAGGATTGACAATGAATGCATTTTGAGGCAGGACTGTCTGACGATTTTGAAGGATTTAGGCGCTGTTGCAAATTTTGGAGGATTTTGGAGGATTGAGGATGGTTCCTAGCAAAAAGGGCCTATATAGGGGGTTGGGGTTAATCTCACCTCGGCTGCAATCTGTTCCAGACTGCTGCAGACTGGTAGGGGCACCTGGCTTCGCTGGTGAACCTCAGTCACATGGTTGTGCACCTGGAGCGCCTGCTGGAATTCCGGATTCTGAAGGAGGCTGCCCAGGAAGTGCACAGTCTCCGCGTTCCCCGGGTCTCCCAGTTTTGTCTGCATCAGCGCCAGGTTGGCGTTGAATTTGGATAAGTCTGAAGAGAGGCAAATAAGCAATGAACTGGGGTTATTTCAGGAGAATCACTACATTTTTGCACATAAATTTAATTATTGGGTAAAGGAATTAGAATTCTTCTAAATCGGTATTCAAAAAGAGGTCGACCGTCCTCAGGAGATTCCACTGCTTTTTTTTAGACATAGAAGGGAAATTTATAGCAAAAATGTATTATTTAGTAGAAATATTTTAACGGATGCATGTGGAGATGTCTCACATACTTCCAGCACTATTTATAGAGAAATGATTTATTTATAAAGACGGAAGGGTAATTAATGGCTATATGGACCATGTAATCTGAAAGACAAATTAAAAACCAGGCTGCTTAATTGGATGTTTCCAGAAATGACACTAATCCTGGAAGAGTGTAAGGTGATTTCCAGCAAGAGTGCATTGCACGGTGTATCATCAAGATGACACAAGTTTAAGCTCATTCGGAGTGGCATGTGATGAATATGTTACCCGGCTAATGTGAATTTCCCTCCCAGTAGATATTCCGGTCCCATTTCCCGCTCCCAACAGTCGGAAACTTTTCATCAGTTGATTTAATCTCCAACTTCCCGCATATGCGCGGAGATTTGGGGGGAAGAGGTGTCTCCCCAAGGAGTTAATTCACAAGTTTCCGGCACACTTACGGTGACGGGATGGGAAGCCTAAGACTGCGCAGCTGAGTTGGAGAAGCCAATTTTCGAACCCCCCTCATCCAACTTCCGAACATTGCGTGACGCTAAAGAGATGTCAATCAAAGAGATGCCAATCAAGGAGCTGCAAACCCTAGCAAGATGAATTACATCTTCAAACCTGACCCAACTGCGGGGCCCACTACTCACCGACTGTTTTCCTGTTGTTTGTTGGGGCCGCTACGCTGGCTTTAGGGTCATCTTCAAAGAGGGCCTTGGAGGAAACGGGCTGGAATGCAAGCGTGGCACCCTGACTGTTGTTCTGACTTGCATTCTGTGCGGAAACAACAATAAAGTCTTAGCAAGTCTCTTTGGGAAATAAGAACAATTAAACTGCACTTTAACCCTTTAACGTATGTACATGAGGAAATACACTTTATTCAGAAGTTCTACAAGGTGACCCCCCCAAAAAGCAACCCTGAACTATTTGCCTTTTTTTTTCCAAAAATGTAATAGGTCCTATGTGAATTTTTATGTTTTGGATATCAGATTAAAGCTGAGAGTTTTTCTTTCAAATACTGAAACAAAATTGTGTAAAAGCACATTGGGTTGCTGAGAAAATGCAAATTTTGTAAAAGAAGTGATTTTTCACTCTTTCCAATAGTGCTTCAAACAGTGAAACATGTTACTGTACATTTGTGCAATTTCTTTAATATTTCGCCATATTTAAAAGGTTTAAAATGTCTATAACTAAGCAGGATAAGATACCAGTACAATAATGATGTAGCGCTTTGAGCACCAATCCTGGTGGATCTGTGCACTTTATACCGGTAAATACCCACTATTATTATTACATGTTCAGGTGAAAAACAAACACAAACTTCATGTGGCATAAAGACAAACTACATGTGGCATAAGCATTTATGTACCGGTATGACACTACATGTACAATGTACATGTACATGTACACAGACAGGTGGTGTTAATATGTCCGTCCAGTGGTCATCAGTGCTTCATCAACACTCTACAACTGTTGTTAATTTGAGGACACATTTGTCAACGGGCATCAGCTTTGAAATGCTGATTCACGACTACTCTACATTATTGTATTCCTGTACATGTGTTTTTCAGGCCTCTCCTAATCTACTTTTGTCAATGCGTGATGGTCAAATCCAGCAGGGGGATTTTTCGCACACAACTGCCTGATTGGTTTCCTGGACTGTTTAAATGTCTCAGTTAACACACTGAGTCATCACACGAGAGAAAACAACACTTTTGCCCTTTAAGCACATCACCAGCAAATTCACTTCTTCATTTTTAATAGAGAGATGCCAATCAAGGAATAAATCAAAACCAAAGGTTCCCGACATCTTCTTAAAAGTGAAAACAGGCCTCAGTGTCAACCCTCAAAACTGATCTGGGGTGGGGAGTGGGGTGGGGAGTGGGATGGGGTGGGGGTATTGCTGGGGGGGGGGGGGGGGGGGGGCTCGCTGATGTGCAATGAAATGTTAGGGCTTTTAATTGAATTGTAAATGTTTTATTTAGAACTACACGTACATGTAACCCCAGCTACGGTACCGTATGCTCAACCAAACATGATCTTTTTTTCTTTTTTTGTTCTGCACCTACATGTACACGTACACTTTGTAAATGTGTTAAGTCTACACTGGTCCACACCGTGCACGCCAAGCAAATTGATGAGATATCCAATTGGACGCACTGTCAATTATCGATGTTGAAGTAGATCTTTCAAGATCCAAATTCAGTGGACTCATCTTAATCTCGCCAGAGAACTGTAACAGTTTTTACCTCCCCCTCCCCCCAACTGGAGTCTAACAATGTGCTGCACTGTGGTGTAATACACAAAATAGCACCAGCCCCTCCCCCAAAAAATTAAATATTATGTAAGAGATTAAAGCACTTAGTGCAAAAGAAACACCAACCTGTTGCTCTACTCCCCTGTCCTCTTCCATTCGCTGCTTCTTAGAACTGCCTTTTTTCTTCCCATTGGGCATAGCGTCCGTCCCGTTCCGCACCACAGCCGAGCCCCCGTTCTGATGGGGTGCGCTCGTGTGGTTGTACTGCGGTGGGGGGTTTTTCATTCCGCTGGCGGCCACAAAGCCGGGCGGGCAGTCCACGGCCACCTCCCTATGCATGCCTCTCTCCTGCTTCACTGGTTGGAGGTCTGCCTGCACAACCATCTCGCTGGTACTCTCTTCAGGCTGTTCAGAGGAGGACTGGCCGGGCTCCTCGAGTTTCTCAAGAGCCAGTGGCGGTAACTCTACTGGCGCGACAACGCTGCAATCGAGCGCGGGCTCCACAACCACCGCACCTTGTCCGTTATAATCCGGGTACTCGTACGACCTCACACTCTCCGTGTCCTCAACGTTTGTGAATGGCTCGACGTCGGCACTGGTGGTTACCACATTTACGCCATGATTCTGCAGCCCAAGATCCGGCAGGCTGTCAGTACTACTGCTGTAGGCTTCGTTGTGAACACCGTTAAACGCACTGAAATCAACCCCGGATTCTTCCCCGCTGAGTTTCACGGCCTCTATTTCGGGCTCGTGGATGTATCCGCCGTTCACAAAGGGCAGCCCCACGTCGGGGGACAAGACGTCCTCTTCGTCTGTGGGTCCGCTAGAGAAACCGTCCGGTGTGGTATAACTAGGCTCGATGTAACCATTGATTACATCGCCGGAAGCATTGGTGAGAGGTGGGAGACTGGACAGATCCACAGCATTGACCGAGTTGTGGGCTGCGAGTTTGGCTATCTTATCCTTAGCCTGTTGCTCTACGGCAATCACATAGGCTTCCTGAACTCTATTCTTCTCCTGGTCTGGCTCGCCTGTAGACCAAAAAACAAAAACAAATGATGGTTGTTTAAACAAAGAACATGTAGTTCTTTAACGACAATATGATTGAGACTAGTACCTGTGCATAGATGTCATTCTCAAGAGACTACTTGAATTCAATTCAATGTTTTACCACAACAGGATGAAAAAGTAAATCCAATCCTGCAATGATTTGATAACATACAATGTACTTTCGAGCACTTACAATACAGGACACTAGACATAGATTTCGTTGTCACTGGGCATGTGTAGCTGCACACCATACAAACCTTACAGAAGACCAACCTGTAAGTGGAATATTATTTCCAATGACGGGGCCAGGTTACACGGTGACTGCAGGCACCAACTGAAGCGCAACATGCAATAACAGTGATGGATACAGCAATACTAGATAATATGTTGGCCAGGCCGCCACCAAATCAAATCAATTCGTACAAAATCATGTGGAAAGTGAAACTGACAGAATTCCAATTGACTGGAATCTCTTACCGATAGGGAGCGGTGCGTGAACACCGACATTGAACAACACAGCCAGGGCTCTCGAAGCCTTCAGACCCATCTTACCCAACACTAACTCAGCCCCTCAAGAAATTAAGTCTGCTACATGTACTACGTGTACAGCCAGTTCCAAGTATCCTATCTTGCCCGACAGAGGAAATAAGGCAACGGCATGTTTATGCGGAGCTGGCTGCTGCTTGACTGCCTAGGGAGACTAATGCTCCGGGATTTAACCCAGATTTAGTACCAGAAATGCGTAAGGATCCATGACAGCAATCTCCGATTTTTTTAACTTCTGAGTCACGTGACTGGAGATGTATGAGTTGTGGACAAGCAAAGTGCGCGTAGGAAACCAGCAGGACGTGAGTCAATGACTATCCTGAAATTCCAGGCAGCCAAAACAAACACAGCAAGGCAGACAGCACGTGTAGTAGTGTACGGATAGTTGCCGATACACAGTGGGACTATAATGTCTTATCACACTTCACAGAAACATCTCCTCCCTGACACCAATTTGAAAGAAGACAAGAGTGACAAAATACACGAACAGAAAGTGTAAACAAACATGTTTACAAGATGCAGGAAAAGTACCGTAGAACTTAGGAAATGCAAGTGTAAAGTGCTGGGATACATACATGTGTATGTTACTTGTAAGTATGTATTTTTGCGGAGATGCTTCACGTATGGTACAGCAATTTGTACAAAATGTACATGCACATATTTTTTTCCCATGGGCACACTAATAAAAAAATTAACATTGAGATTACCTGACAACTACAGAAATTAAGCCCTACCTACATGTACACGTATGTTCTGCAGTATGGTACTGTACATGTACATGTACAATACATAAATCCCCCTACATGTAATTGTGGACAATAATTGGAAATCAATGTCAGCTAATCGAAAACAAATCTAAAAGTGTACAGACATCCAGGAATGACTAGATGTCTGCCTTAATTAAACCAGTAGCCCAAAAAGCTGCTAGATCACGACAAACAAGGAACAATAGAATTATCCAATATCCCTCACTTCATAATAAACACACACTGGTTTCTATCAGGATGCATCTGATTATACGTGGCCTAATCACCTGCTGTACCTGGGCTCTAGGATACTTGCCAAGTGTGTCGCCTTGGCTAAACCTGGAGACAGGTAGCAATGGACTCTGTCTGTGTAGGAACAGTAGGGCCTAGGTGGTTCTTCCTGAAAAGGGTTTTAGCCAGAGGGGTGTCTGGGCGTCTTTTGGACGACCTGTAGGCCACAATGTATATTTGCAAACCCAATTTTGAAATGAAAATGTGTGTTAAAATTGGGTAATTTGAGAAATAGACAAGGATGTGTTATAAATGAAATTGTATGTGACGTGATGATGACGTCATCAGGTGTCATGTTACATCACATTAAAAGGAAATATGAAGCCCTAACCACAAGGTCAATTCAGTTGAAACTTTCTGTGTCAATAGACAGGATGCGTTATACATGTACAAAAATGCAGAGGAAAATTGATGCAACATCATGACCTCATCAGGTGTCATTTACATCACATTAGGCGAAGTAAAAAAACAACAAGTTTCTCGTCCCCGCCCGCTTCCTTTTTGGAGGCCGCCTGGATTTTTTTACTATTTTTTATTTTTGAAAAATGTAGTAGAAAAACACCGAAAAAGTCTACAAATTCATCGGAAAATAAATACCAATACAAATACAACTCTAAATGACACTGTAAATATGTTCAGTTCTCTTGTCCAACTTGCCTTTCATCTTTAAAAGTGTCTTTGAACAGTGGAACACCAACGGTTGCAGGAAATTTTGAAAAGACGGTCATCTTGAAAAAAATAAAAAATAAAAAATAAAAAGCCCCGCTTCCTCCCTTTTTTCAAAAATCCCGGACGAGAAACATTTTTTTTTTTACTCAGCCTTACAGTGCATTATATGAAGCGCTAAATTTTAGACCACAGGTCCAATTGGGTTGAGATTTGCACAGGAATATTCATGACAAAATACTCATTCTTAGTGTTATCAAAACATTTTCTCATATTTAGCCATAACGCCCCTGGGTTCTGTTGGAATTAACAGACACATTCTCTCGTTTTGAAATGAAAATGTATGTAAATTTAAATTATGTACATGTACATAAGTATCGGTATGTACATGTACATCCCCTTGGGGTCTTTTAAAAACAAAAATCCCTCAGCATGTTTGCATGGAGGAACACACCGGAGCTTTGGTGGTACATGTTTATGATGGGAATGATATTTGTGATTGTCTTTCAGTAAGTTTTAAAGTTCTACCTTGCATTTTACCAAAACAAATATTGTAAGTAAGTGCTGCAGGCGCAGTTCCATACTCAGTATGTAAATTTTATACTTTTACGTTATCAAATGTAAAGAAAATGTGTTTTTTAAATCAATATGGAATGAACAATGACTGTGCTACATGTATCCTAACATATGAAACCTGTTTTAAGATTTCTTCTTTCAATAAAATCTACATGTGACACTTTCAGTGGCTTGCAACTATTGCACACTGTGGTTCTGTTGTTTACTGATGGCATGGACGCCTGTTGAAATGTCTTCAATACAGTGATACATGGTCCAAGGAACATGATGAATCCTGGACTAAATTTAGGAGAAAACACCTTTACAAATACAGCTGACAGTCAGCCTTGGTTGTTATGGTAACCAAATGGCACCCTGTCACTTTGACATGTACATGTACATGAACAGGGTGACTGTACATAAATGGCAGCTTTGTGCATGTGTTGCGCTGTACACATGTCTGACATGTACATGTACTTGTAGGCCTTATTCATGAGTTAAATAGTCATTTGCTTGCACATGCACCAATTTTTAAGACAATTCAGTAGGCCTAATGATTACAGTGTTTGTATGTTTGTCACATTTTCAACAAATGTTTGCACTAGCTGTTAGGCAAACCACAATTCATCACAGCACAAAATAATGTGTACATGTATGTAGGCCTGAAAGTAATTCACCCAGATATGTATCCGGTACATTTGTACTTCACTGTACATATTCACCATTGAGCAGTGTTACTGGGACCGTCTTTTTGGTCTATTAACAGTACAAGATCATTTTCTGAGTTAATGTAATGCTCCTGTGTTTCAGGATATTTTTTAATGAAATTCTACTCTTGCATTGCAACCTGCAATGTGTACATCACTACATGTACATTTTTATACATTGTACATTTTTCACATGGACATGTACTGATACATGTACATTATACCAGTACATTTGTATTACAAAAAAGTAATTGTTTCAATACACGTATGTATATAAATCTCAAGGGCCAACTTCAATACATTGTTCGTGTGCCTCATCAACGCCCCTTGCCAATATTCTGTCTACACATAAATTTGGCAAATGTATGCAACTTACATACATTTCAGAGAGCCACCTGTTTTAATGACCAGTTCACATCAATCACTGTACATTTCATTTCCCTGATCACTGGAAGCAGAGACATAGATCACACACAGTGACAAGGGCTGCCTATTCAACTGAGTACTGATCATGAGATGTGACAGCTTTATCCTGTACAGCTTTGTACATACATGTACACTGTACACTTCAGTACATGTAAAAGGCATTAAGAAGAGATCAAACAAGTGATACAATTCCATCAGGCCACTAACTCTTACTCATTTTCATGTACCGGGTACCATGCATACACTGGTATTCATACATGTTGTGTAATCTGTCCTTCCGAAACATATCAGACTCTATCTTTCTAATTGCACAATTAAAGTGTACCAGCACTATTGTGTACAAATGTATTTTCATTCAACCTGTCTACCTACATGTACATGTACATGTATGTCTGTTAACCTCGTTATCAAATCTAAATACATGCAACTTTCTATCTAATAAACATTCTTTGAGAAAACACTCGAGGGAATTTTTGGGATTATCGTTTAACTTCTGAAGACAGTGAAGAGCGAAGTAAGCTCTGTTGTCTGTGCTAAACAGATAACAACTTAAAAATAGCGCTGGATCTGTGCAGATAACATGTTAGATTGCTAAAGTAAAACTTCAAAGGTGTTTAAAAAATATCAGGGTTCAGCCATGGAGGTACAATGTACGAAACATTTGGACAGTATGAAAGGGCCTATACATACTTGTGTTGAGCTACATGTAACTTTGCTTAATAAGATAATCATTATAATCCAGTTTACATACATGTACATGTACATCAAATTCTGACCTGGTGAGCATTTACCTCTCGATGTTGTTGATGACCTGAGCACTTAACAGAAAACCTTTCTGCATTTCAGCTACATACATTTACATGTACCAAATAACAGGTGACTTAAAAGCAGGGTCAAGCCAATCAGGGATTATGGTATGATGTACATTATTGTGTACGCTTGTACACAGAATACTGGTCGGTTCATGTAAATGTGCATGCTATTAATTGGTTCATAAACAATGAACGCCATTTTGTATGGGCATGTAAGATTTGCTCTTTTGAC